CCCCAAAACCCCAAAACCCCAAAACCCCAAAACCCCTCACTTAATTTGTCATATTGAATCGAATTCTTCTTTAGTCTCCTCTAATATCCAGTTGGAAGTCCCTCAAGGACTTTTGTCTCAACTACCTTTTGACCGCTAGCAACATGAGTATATGTGATTCTTGCTCTCAAAACAATTGGGTCCTTGCCTTCATGGGTGTTCTGAATCTTCATCTCCTGAGTCACTTGTTCTGTTGGCATAGGCTGTAAAGAAGAGCTAGACACAGCGAAGAGTTGAAGATTTAGGTACTTTTTGACAGAAATCTGCATGTTAATTGAATCTAAAACTGAGCTAGACTTGTTTGTGTAAACTGCAGTGATCCTGTGGGTTGAAGAATCCATACTATCTCTTTCAAAGTTGAACAACACCTTAATGTTAGAGTCTTCATGAGCAATGTAGGTTGGAGCGGCAGGAGCTGAAGGAGCACTTCCAAATAAATCAGAAGGAGTCTGAGATGCTGGAGATCCTCCAAATATATCGGAACCTAATCCTGAACTAGCTGAAGCTGTTGCAGACCCACCTCCAAATATATCTCCTAGAGGATCTGAAACTGGATCTGATGGTGGAGCTGGAGCATCAGTACCCATTCCACCGAAGATATCGCCAAGAGGGTCAAAATTATCATCAGGAGATTCATCTTGTTGATCATAATTAATTCCAAAAATATCATCAAGTGGACTTTCTTCTGGAACATGAGTTTGTGCTGGGGCTGCTTCTCTCTTCAGTTGTGTGAGATCATCTTCATCTCCTTCACCTTCTTCTCTAACTGCTCTCTCAGTTGCATCTACAAGCATATTTTCATCTCCTTGGAAAGGCATTGGTTCAAAAATAGCTAGTCTATGTTGATCCCAATCTTCGTCAATAAGTTTCATAAATTCACAAGCTCTTTGTTGGATCTCGATATTTGGATTATGAACTTGATTTTGAATAAGTTCTTGGATTTTGCCTTTCATTGATTCAAATCTGATAGTCAACTTACTAAGAGCCACCAGAGAATATTGGATAATGACATCTCCTTTATCACCTTTGTCTTTATAATGCTCCATAACCTTTTCAATTGTCTCGACAGCTTCCTCCTCGGTGACATTAATAGGAGTATCATCCATTTCCATTGTTTGACCGCTAACTAGAAGCTCTCCGAATTCCCCAATCAACCAGACTCCTAACTGTTGAAGCCCAGATTGCTCGAGGTTCTCTTTCATAGAGAAATAAGTCTTGTTTACAGAATAATTCTGCAATTCTGCTGTTGAGGCAATCAGTGTGATCAATGAGCAAATGAAATTATCCATGACTTCTGAGCCTGCTAATGTCAAGACCTTTATGACTGTATCAACATGCCATTTCTTGGTAGGAGAATATTTCTCAACAGCCATGCAAATTTTGTTTGCCAAGTCTTCCTTGAATTCCTTCTCGGCAGTAAGCAGGAAATTCAAAAGTTCTTTCACGATACCCTTTACATTGGTGTTCTTACAGATCTGGTAAATTAGGTCAAGAGCTTCCTTCTTGATCACAAGATCTGGGTCTTTCAAGCATCCGATGACTGTAGTCTTGTGTCTTTGGACGGCATTGTAATCAATATTTACCAATTTATGCAAATTTGTCAGGGCAATAAATCTGATGTTATTTTCCTTATTGACAAGGAACCTTCCTAAAATATTGATTCCCAATGCTCTTAACCCTGAACTAGCTTCGATAAGCATAATTGCTCTAACACATTCGTAGAGGATAGAATTTGCTGCTCCTTTAGATCCCTCAGTGCTTGTAGCTATTTCTGTCAAGATGTCATTCATATCATCACTAGCATCTTCATTTCCTTCTCCTAGATGACCGAGAACTCTGATGATTCTAACTTGGAGGAAGGGATCTTTGATGCCCTGAATATCATATTCTGGAGCATATCCTGAGTGGATAAGGTTCTTCAGGATCTTAATCAGGACTTTAGTGTACTTCCTGAAAGTTCCAACTCTCTCAGGCTCAATGTTGATAATCTCCTGGATCAAAGTCATTGTTGCCAGAGTGATACTATGAGAATGCTCGTTGATCAATACATCTATCACTTCCATGAAATCGTCTATGGTATCAGGAATGTTTTTAATAATCCTGACAGCTGCAAGGATAGCCTTCTTTTTGATGTAGCTGCTTGTTGATCTCATAAGCTTCTTTACTTCGGTATATAGTTCTCTGCACATATCTTCAGTTGAGATTTCTGCAATAGAAGTAAGCCCCAAAGCAACAATAAAGTTGCTTTTTGAGCTATTCAAATCATTCTTGATGGCTTGAGTGACCATCATCAGAAGCTCGCTGCTCTCATTCATAAGTTGGCTTAGAGCCATATATCCAATCCTTTTCTCGGTATAGTCATCTGAGGCTACACACTTAATAGTCTCAACTTGTCCAAACTGTGTAGGATATCCTAAAAATTTTCAACTCTCTTCACTTACCGAGGAGGTTAACAAACAATAGCTTAGCTATGTTCCTATGTCTGTTCTTTGGATTTTTCTCCTAAACCAGAATATTTACCTCCATTTTTAACCCAGAACCAAACTTGAGAAAGTGCTTACCTTGAAGGCATTTCTGATCAAGGCTGATTCCTTACTAACAACAGCACGCTCATCCTTAGCTTGTTTACAGTTCCTGATAGCTTTGATGAACTCTTTCAGTTTCATAGTAGACATGGCTGCTTTTGGATTTTTAAATTATTTTACGAAATTTTAAAGAGGGGTTTTGGGGTTTTGGGGTTTTGGGGTTTTGGGGTTTTGGGG